GCAAATGTCTACAAGCTCAGTTCCCAGGCAGCCCCAGCCTCTTACTTATCCACAGGGAATTTTAGCTTCATTTTTATAAATTTGCAGATTATATAGGTGCAGTAAAATTCTGAAAAAATTCCTATGTTAGGAGTTGCGAGAAGAACAAAAGGGAGAGATAGAATTTTGAAATGGCCTCATAGCTTTAACCTTGACTAAGGTACTATAGTCCTTACAGGCTTCATATGATGGTCAGTACGTGCTTCAATGGTAGATGACCCAGGTGCTTTTAACATCATTAAAGCTCTAAAATGGGTTTTGATGTCCAGATTGACTCATTGGGAAATTAGAAATGCACCTGAAATGCCTTAATGTTGCCTTTGTTTTGTGATTTGTATAGGCGGTCTTGTCCAGTATGTGGATAGACCACTTGGCAAGACTGCCCCAAACTGTAATCACAGAGAGTATTCCTGTAGAAATGCATTTTCCTGGCCTGTTTGAATTCCACAGTACAGTGCAGTAAGACTTTGCATTTGGGGCTGAGGAGATGGCTCAGTGGAATAAGTGCTTCCCTGGCAAGTGCAAGGACCTGAGTTCAATCCCCGGTTCCGCAAAAAGAAAAAAAGACTTGGCATTTGTACAGCAAGTACAAATGCAAACAAATGCTGCCCATGTCTGGCCTGAATTTCATGCTTATATTAATACTATAATATTAATACTATATTAATGTATTAATACTGATATATTAATATTATATAATACTATAGTATTATGTTAATACTCTAATGTAACAAAGGCAGGATTTTGGAAATCACAGCTGAACAATGAGGAGATTTGCAATAGTCTCAAAGAAACCACCAAAATGTACTCTAAGAAGGGCTTTCAAACTGGGCCTATCTCTTGTTTTACCTGTTAGAAAGCTCACTGTGTGACTTCAGGAAAGCGCTTTCACCTCCCAAAGCCTCAATTCTCATCTGTTTGCTGGGTGTAACTATTGACAGGCAGGGTCCAGTGGGGCCAAAATGGACTTGCCTGCCCACATTCAGCTTATATCAGAAAATGGTTTGTTCAGAGAGACAAAGAAGACTAAAGAGGACTTGGAGAACGGAATGAGCTAGCTGGTGCTCATTTAGGTGGCCATTACTTTTTTAAAATTAATTTTATTGAGAAACAAATAGCAATGAGACAGTTTCAAAACAGGTTATTAGGACAGTTACAATAATTTAAACATTGCATAGGGTTGTCTTCATAGTAGTTATTCATAGTACAAGATAAAGACAGGATATCCTGTCAAAACACTACTAGTACAAATATTTCTTCTCATTGAATTAAGAGAAAGTAGCTGTACATCTATCCTAACTCTTTTGTGTGTGTGTGTGTGTGTGTGTGTGTGTGTGTAGATATAGATATAGATATATAGATATATATTTCACTACAAAATGGTCCTTCATTTATAGCCCCCTTTTTTGTTTAGTTTTGTCAGAGATGGTATTTCATTGCAATTTAAATATTGTAGGTGCGTGAATTCAGCAAAAGAATCCAAGATAGTCCAGTAGTCCATAATGGAGTGGGTTATCCGCAGACTGGCCATTTCTGATGGGCACGTCAGGCTGGGCTGACAACTCCACTCATGCCACAACAGAACTAAAGCCTTGGAACAGGCTTCCAGGAGATGAGAGGTATTTGAGTTTGGCTCCAGGCAAATTGATTTTAAAGATTTTTGATATATTCTAAAGGAGATAGCTAAAAGATAGAATTTGGGCCGGTGAGATAGCTCAGTGGACTAAGTGCCTGTTTAGGCAAGCGCTGGGGTTCTATCAGCAGCACCACAGGCCGCACGGGTATGCCCCTGGGCACGCTGAGGCTACAGAGACAGACCGTGGTGGTGCACACTTGTACTTCCAGCACTGGGCAGACTGAAAACAGGGCAATCACTATGAGTCTGAACTGTGTATTGAGACCCTGTGCCAAATACAAACACACACACAAAAGAAAGAAAACAAAAGAAAGAGAAGAAAAGGGAAGGGAAGGGAAGGGAAGGGAAGGGAAGGGAAAGAAGGAAAGGAAAGGAAAGGAAAGGAAAGGAAAGGAAAGGAAAGGAAAGGAAAGGAAAGGAAAGGAAAGGAAAGGAAAGGAA